CTGCTTTTTGCCCTTTCCCAATTCCCACTCCTAACAACACAGACCCATTTAGCTCTGGATCTGGCCCCGTTTAAGGGGAGATCTCAGAACCAACACACCCAGCTCCGTTTACTTCCATCTCTTTCAGCTTTTGACATTCAATGAGCCCAAAAACCCCGTTCTCACAGAATACAAATATCTTCTGCAGGGTTTGCATTCACCTCCTGAAAAGAGACCCGAAATCCCGAACAAATTTTTTTACCAACAATATGCACTAACAGACAGGCAGTGTCATGTTTTATACTTGCCCATTTCAACACCAGTACAGAGGACAAGCACAGAAAGACCTCGTTCCCACCAGCACTGGATTAGGGAAACTTACCACTTACTTGGGCCCTTAGCGATTCAGTCTGGGACACCAGCAATGACACCTCTTTGTCTCTTTTACTCAGCTTGTCTTGGAGGTCTGTGGGACAATGAAAAGAAAAGCCAAAGATTAGAATCTTGGAAAATGTTTTGTGCAAATCAGGACTGTCTCGAGCACAGGGCACAGGCTGGGGCTCAGAGAGCTGAGGTGGTGGTACCCTCCATCGGCAGAGAAGCAGCAGGAGACAGATAATGGCATTTCTCACCGCATCTCACCACCACCCAGGTGTTCTGAGGCAGGATACATGGCTAGAAAGTCATATCGGACAGGTTTAAGAAAGCAACCACAAAGTGGTAGGAAAAAAAAAAAAAAGAAATAAAACGTTACTAAAAACCACAAAAAGGAACTTTCAGTGCCTTTTCTCGTGCTATTTCCTACACTGGATGGCAGAAACGGTTTTAAAAGACGTTTCCTGGAACTGATGCATTTCCACACTTGGAGACATAAAGTATGATGCTTTTAGGATTCGAGTACATCCTATATATTGTTTATCCTGTGTGGAAACACACACGGACTGAGCGGCCTTTTTAAGAGCAGCGGCTGCTGGACCCAGTTATGTTCTGCCCTCACCAGGCAGGAATTACCTGGCAATCAGCGTACAATTTGGGGTAGCATGTACGTAATCCTGTACCTGCAAAGACACTGACGAGGCTAAGGACAGATGGAAATAGGACAAAACACCTCTGTCTGAATCCACAAACAGCTGGAAGGACACTAAAACTGAACAAAAGTCCCCAGTAACCTCCATTTCGATTGCTGCATCCTCAGCAAGACTTTAACAAGGGCTTTGCAGAGAACAGACTCCTCAGAGGTGAAAAATTGAGGAAAAGCTACACCAGCCTACGCAAACACCATTTGAAAAGAGAAGCGACCAGTTAGCTCTTTAGAGGTAACCTCTGTGATCTACACTGATAACATTTTCTGCTAAAAAAGCCCAACCCTAAGGAAGAATGAAGAAATAGGAGTCTCCTGGGAATGAGCAAGGGAAAACGTGATCTGGAAGCACCTTATGCGTCTTGGAAGAGCCCTGAATCACAGCGACCCAAAGGCATATCCCACGCACGTGACGTGGCAGGACGTTGCTCCCAACACCTGGGCCATCCAGCTCTCACCTCGACAGGTCGGCTGTTGCTCAGACTGGAGGTTCCAGCTTACCTTCTTTGTGCGGGATGCTGAAGGCAATTCAGTTTCAAAGACACTTTATACAAATTTTGAGTGCATAAATTCTGTGTTTATTTAAAAGGATAGATTTGATTTATAGTAAACTTAATAAAAAAAGTAACCCCCATTTTTTTAAGCCAGTCACATTAATATCTACCATTAGCAGTCCTCTCCTATGAACAAATTACATTTAATGGCTGGATTTGACCTGCTGTAAAAATCAGAGATGGGATGGAAGCATGCTCAGTTGCCCTGATCTGTCTCCAGCCTGTACCATTTGCATGGTAAGCGTGTAACACAAGTGAAAACATCCACCCCTGCATATGCTCAGCCAGATTAGAGGAAAAAAAGAGCCAGACAACAAATGCCATCCAGTGAAATCTGAGATTAAATCACTCCCTAACCCCCTTCCACACAGCCATTCCTCCAAGAGCAGAAAGTCAGAGGGAAGGCACAGGAGTCACTAGAACAGAGTGTTCCAAGAAAATACCAGTACATTTTCATACCTTCCATAGTCTGCTTCATCTTTATCTTTTCTTCTGAAATATCATTAGTTTCAATCATCTGAAATAAATGTACAATACAAGATGTAAAACAGCCCTTTACCCAAAGATTCAAAGCAAAGTTAACAACCAACGAAGACCCCTCCAAAGCAGAATTGTACCCAGGACTCAATTTATGATGATTTACATCCTTCCTGAGAGGGAAACAAGGGCTTTTGAGGAGTCACTCCTACAGCTGGGTACTGCTGAAGGGTAATTGGCAACAGCCAGGTGAGCATGACATCGAGGTTCTCCGGGATGGAAAAGACGTTATGCCTTCCCCGCAAGCTCTGGTTCCAGGTTTCACAAACCCAGCGTCTGCGCAGAGCAACGGGAAGAGCTGCTCTCCTTGTCATCAGTCTCTGTGGTTAATCACGGCAAATATTCAGGTACAAATGCTCTTTAGCATTCAAACCAAGACATATCAGTCAAGTTCCTCAACTTCTGAAAAATCTAACCGTGCACAAAGTTATAAAAACAGTAATAAAATGTTGATAAAACAATTAGAGAATACATTAAATAAAAAATAATAAAAAAGCAAATGCTGGTCCATGGTGAGGATTCTGCCTTTTCCCCATCCTCGCTTGTCTATACTGCAATTAAAACCCAGAGACTGCAGAGCCCAGGGCCAAGCTTTCCATTGCAGAGGCCACAATTCAGCCCTTTGTGCCTCTTCACACCTCACAGCCTTCAGTGGGACCTCAGCACACACCCCAGATCACGCAGTTGCTGCGGCCACCACCGCTGAAAGCCCCGAGGTCAGTCCCCAAGAGCTCGGGTGGGCTGCAGGAGATGTCCTGAACAGGAGCAGGAGCACACTCAAAGGGGAACACACTGCCTGATGTATTCCTGGTATGGAAAAAATACTGAACTGCTCTTTGGAAGCATGGTTGTGATTCTCACTTGAAGGTCTCAGGGAAGGCAGTCACAAGGCACATTTGTTTGTTTAAAATACTTGGATAGCTAATAGTGCAGTCACATTAAATTAGCTAAGACATTTAAAAATAGAATTTGCTCTGTGATACTCCAAGGCTTTCACCCATGCATTTCTTCCCGCATTTTCCCAGTTTTAATTGGCACATAGTTAAAATAATTATTTCAAGACTCCCTGGTTCTAACCCAATATCAATATCCCCCCAGAACCTTCTCATATATTTAAAGGGCTCTGGAACGAGCCTCCAGCTTCTCCTTTTACATCCATTCCTGTTTGAATATTGGCTATCATATGTGACATGTTGTAATAACAACCCACTTTTCCCAGGGCCCTGGCTGTACTTATTGTTCACAACTGTCTTTACTAAATGAAACATGTAGAGCAACTCTCGAAACAGCATTAATGCTGTAGATTCCTCCCTGGGCTTTTCCCTGGTCTGTCCAGTCGCGGGTGCCTTTTTGCAGGCATGAATCTCTGACTTGGCCAACAGTAATTCATGGGCTTGACTTCGCTGCCTAGAGGTGCAACTGATGTCAGTGGGGCTGCTCGTGTTGGAAAATTAAACATAGGCATCATATTCACTTCACTGGTGCATCAGTCTGGGACAAGCGACTACATTGCCGGTGACAGATTCCAAATGAGCATTCTTAAAACGTCCACATTTCATGGCTTATTTTCATTTTCCGCATCCCCACAGGGACAAATTGTAAAGGGGGTTTTGCCTCATTTCTCATGCAAAATCCAAACACAAATGGGGTCCAGCCTAGAGCCATGAGCAGCCATCTCCCCGTCTCCCTCTAGTGCAAAGCCACACGTCCCTGTGTCATGCCACGAAGGCAGGATGGCATCCTGTGGCAAATGGTCCAAAAAAGGAGGACTATGTAAAAAGACACGAAGGCCACAGAAAACTGACCTCTTCGTATTACTACCACTTTTATTCTAGTCTTCCCTGGGAGGTTCCGGACCCGAACTCAATCAGGCATTTTATTTGCCCAGCCTGGTGCTATCCTGATGCTTGCTAGTGGCTGTTTCGCTATAATCCTCAAAGTCAACATTTCCCCATCTCCCATACACGCTGCCAGGCCTCCTGCTGCCTCTGCTGCACTGCTGGGATGCCAGAGGAGCCCATGGAGATGGTCAGAGGCTGGAGAGGCCTAAGAGATTTGGGGGTGTGCAGCCTGGAGAAGAGAAGGGTCTGGGGAGACCTTCCAGCACCTTCCAGTGCTGAAAGGGGGCTACAGGAGAGATGGGGGGGCTCTGGATCAGGGGGTGCAGGGACAGGACAAGGGGGAACGGTTTTAATCTGAAAGAGGGGAGACTGAGATGAGCTATTAGGAACAAATATTTTCCTGTGCGGGGGGTGAGGCAGTGGCCCAGGTTGCCCAGAGCAGCTGTGGATGCCCCATCCCTGGAGGGGTTCAAGGCCAGGCTGGATGAGGCTTTGGGCAACCTGGGCTAGTGGGAGGTGTCCCTGCCCATGGCAGGGGGTGGCACTGGATGGGCTTTAAGGTCCAACCCAAGGCTTTAAGCTTTAAGGCTTCCAACACAAACCATTCCATGATTCTAATTAAGGCTCTCAAACCATTCTCCACATGCTGAGCAAGCTACATGCTCTATCTCAGCGTAGGCAATGTCTCTTCTTCCACCCCATCCGCCACCTACCCCTAAAGGGCCTTGCTCAGTAACACACTAATGCCACCGCAGCTCTTTAGAGGACAATAGGTGTATTATATAAATGAGGCTTTTTCACCTAAGAATGCTTGCTCAGGGGGAGAGCCCATCCCTGCCAAACCCTGATAGCCCTATTCTGCTGCCACAGCACCAACGTGGCTTCAAACCCAAACATGGCCCACTTGCTTCTCTTATTTCTTCTAGTTGTGCCACTGAACTGGCTCTCAAGAATGGGAAGACACCTTCAGCATGGAGATGCAGTGCAGGAAAAGCACAATCAATGGAAGGTAAAAACATCCAGATACTCTGAGGCACAGAAGCCTCAGAAAATTGCAGAAGGCAGCAGCTGAGGGCTACTCCTAGGAAGGGTTACTGACAGTGATGATAAATAAGCAAAATGACCCAGAAGTCATACATTTGCATGGTGAGAAGGATGCAGGGCCTCCATGGACTGCAGCTTGTTCTCTAAAACAAGCACTTTTTCCTGCAATCTGTGGATCTCCTGTTTGCTCTGGGCTTCTGTTTTCTGTAACGTTTCATAGTCCAACATCTTCTTCTCAGCCAAAGAAATCTGCTCTTTCAAGAAAGCTATTGCTTGTGTTTGATCTTTATATTCACCATGAAGTTTCTCCAGTTCATGCACCCTCAGCTCAGCATCTCGACACTTGTCCTTCACATCTTGGAGCTCAAGAAGATGCTGATTGCTTTTGGTTTCCAGTTGCATTTTCCAGTTGCTGTTGCTTTTTTCCACTTCATCCACAGCCTCCTGCAACTTCAGTTTGAGGCTCTCTTTCTCCTTTATATGAACAGCTGTCTCAATGTCATGCTTTGCTTTCAGGTTCTCCAACTCAAGCTGGTGCTCCATCTTTATACTCTCCATCACTGCCTTCAGTTCCACAATCTCCTTGTGCTGGGTGTCGGGGCCTGTGTTCAATGTGGCTTTGAGGTCCTCCAGAGACTTCTGGTGGTCAGAAGCCAACGTGTCCAACTTGGACTTCCAGTTGTCCATGAGCCCCATGTTCTCATTAGTGGCTTGCTGAACTTTATGCTTGAGGTCAACAATTTCCTGCGAATACTTCTCATTGACAGCTTTCAGCTTCTCCATCTCCTGCTGGTATTTCTTTAATGTCTTCTCATACTTCTCCTTGAGCTGGCTGCTCTCCTTCTGGTACTCCTTGTTGGCAGACAGCAGCTGATCCCGTAGACGAAGAGCCTCGGACTGCAAGCCCAGGTTATGCTCTGGGGTCTCTGCCTGGTGAGAGCTCCTGAGGCACTGCCGCAGCTCATCCACCTCACTGCACCTGAGGCTCAGCTCCTCCTCCAGCTGCAGGATCCTGGACTTCTCCGCTACCGTGGTTAACTGCAACAGGACAGAGAAGACAACGTCAGCGCCCACCTCTCATCGCTGCGTCCTTCCTTTTTGTAAGTGTGCTGCAGTGGAAGTAAATCCAAAGTACATTAGTCAAAGTTCAAATAAAGAGGAAAAGAATACGCAGCACCCTGCAATCTGAGTACGGTTTTGCATCAGGGTAACTATCACCAATAACTCTAACGGTTATGTCTTTGTGCCAATTGCAATTTTTTTTTTCCTAACACAAACCTCTCATTTTCCACAGAGAAACACACATCTTTGTAACAACCCTTGAAATTCACTAGAGAGCAACAGTGGTTTACAAAAAATATTGTCCTGCAAAGGGCATTATATTTCCAGACCAGGCATCTTGCCAGATGATGCACAGAGGAAATGCGACTGCACATGCAGGAACATCACAAGCATTGAAACCAGCATTAAGCATATCATGTTTCCTTTATTGCTCAGCAATCCTCAGCCTACAGACCTCTCTCCTGCATCGTAATTTGCTTACCCTGGTGTAAAAAGGATTTTTTTTTTTTTTTTTTTTACATATGAGTACTTGTTAGAGTTCATTAGCAAAGTAAAAATAACGTAGAAGGCTCGAGGATGCAAGACAATAAATCTGGCCATGGTTAACATTCAGCATAAGGACTATGGATCGATGTCTGACGATCTGAATGTAACCTAACTGGGCTGAACTACCTGCTAGTCACAGGGAGTTCAGGGTGCTGCAGCTACGGATGGAGAAGAGGAGATTTGACTGGATGAAATATTAGATAAAGGCAGAAGAAACAAGGAAACCAAGTGGATCTTCCAGTGCCAAAACACAAGTGATCAATTCCATTTCATTTCAATTACCATTTCCCCACTAACCAGCAGCCCAGGAGGCTGGGTATTTTTTATTTTAGATGGGCACGGGGGCATTCAAACCATTTAGCCCTTTTAGAGAACCTCATGTTCGTGTTTTCTACAGCTCTAACCAACCCATTGGTGAGGAGCAAGCTCACTGTAGGCAAGTTTGCCACTTCCCACAGCACACCAGCATGAAAAAGCCCTCTCCACATCTGGCTGCTTTTGGGATGGGGTACGTTGTTCATTGGGGCAGCCTGTCCTGTTGCAGGCATGGCCGAGGATCACAGCTGGTCCACCTGCACTCACCAGTATCTTCCAGTTCAGATGGCAGCTCCGAGAGCTGGAGGGAGGACAAAGGGAATGCTGATTGCAATGTTATTTTCTGTTACAGCCCGGGGGAGCCTGGAGGCAGGATGAATTGTGCAGGGTGCAGATATTATTTGGGCATGTTAATTGAAAGATGGATTGTGAAGAGCTCATGTGTCAAATGGTGGCATGGGGCAGAGAAGCAAACCCAATCTGAGAAACAAGTCCCCACACAAGAAACAAAACCAGAAATTATATCATACTACCATTTCCAGGAGAAAGAGGAAAAAAAAAACCCCAAATAAAAAAACCGAGGGAAGCCTAAATTCAAGCCAAAACCAATGAACCCCACAAACCAAAAAAAAAAAAAAAAAACACAAAACAAAAAACCCCCAAAACAAAAAAAAAAAAAAAAAAAAAAAGAAACCCAAAGCAAGGCATCATGAGCATCAACGCAGGGGCCAAGCGCGCTGTTCTGCAGGCAGGGCAAGTGGGGGTCGATTACCCTGGTGTCCTCTAATTCTCTGAGGAGTTTTTCAGCCTGTGCCTTCTCAAACAGCAGGCTCTGCTCGAGCTCCCGTATTCGGGCATGCTCCAACTGCGTCTGAGTCTGGTCACACAGAGGGAAAAAAGAACAGTGGAGGTGGGAAAAGGGGAAGGGAGAGAGAGAGAAAGAGAGGGAAAGA